AAGAAGGATGAAAAAATATTATATTTTTGTTCTTTCAACAGAAGATGATGATTTGTCGTAAATCGTTTGTCTGCACGGATCTAACGTTACTTGCTAATTGCTTGTTCTTTTATATATAATAAATTTCATAAAATTGAAGGGTCTACGTTCCAAAAAAATGAATTCTCGAAGCCAAGATTTTATATCTTTGGAGTTTTACATCTCTTTAACGCTCTTCAAATTTCATCTCGATCGGTGGCTATTCAAATTAAATAAACATATGGTTGACAATGGCCAATCAAAATAATTTTATGAAGTAATTTAATTAGTTAAAAATTATTTTTTAAAATAATGGAGTATAAATTGTTATATATTTAAAATGTGTATTAATACCAAAAAACACGGATAGAGCTCTTTCTGATATGTATATACATGGATACATAATATAAAATGGAATAGTTTTAGATACTGATTTCTTGTATCGGAATCTGAAGCTACAGACGAGGTTTATGTATTTATACCATGTTGACAACACTAACGGATATTGACGCAGTTCTCCAATTTACCGTTGTTTAAGCGTAGAGTGCGCTAAAAAACCAGTGATATTATTCCTGGTCGATATTTCAGACTCGGAGACACGAAGCTTCATTTAATGTCAGGTCTATCCTATTCTTAGTCAATACACAGACCAAGTCACAAACGAGGTATATATAGAATAGGACAAGCTACGGACGAGATATATGAATAGACCTTACGTACAATGTACTTTTTCGGCCCACGATTGGTCTATAAGCCCACTTACCATTTTCGTGTCACAGCCTGTCGTACCAATTCAGGCAAGTTTTGCACCGTGAAAATAAAAAAATATGGACAGTGTTGCCGGATTTATTTCGAGAATTATTCATTAAATTGAACGTGGTGGAAAATCAATGAATATAACGATTTAACCCACCGAGTACTGAAGTACGCAGCCCTGTGCCTGGGTCATTTCTGACTCCACTAATCCATTTACAATTGCTCGAAAGTATATACCAACATGTTGACGATCGCTCGTGACTCGAGGTCCTCACGAACGTTACATCAATATGCTGAGGGTTGAACATTCATCGCTATACGTGCGTATTGTGTGTAATGTTCGCATTTTATATAGGAAAATATAATATATAACAGCATCGTGGTTTATAAAAAAATAATATTTATTCAATATCGTTGTCATAATCTTCCACAAGAGAAAAAGCAGGAGGTTCGTTTGCTTGTTGCGCGGACATATCAAACAAATAAACAAATAACGAATAAAAACAATGAAAATAAGAAAATGATAACTGTTGCTGAGTGGATAGAGCGTGTACTTTGTTCGAATACTGTCTGAAGCAGACTGACGAGTAGAAACTATATAAACTTGAGGCTATATTTTCCTATTTGTCATTAAGTGTTTCTAGAAAAAAGGCATGGCTATTACTGTATTTTAGCAATTACAAAGAAAGAATAAAGAAATAACTATACTGAAAATGCAAAGGAGAAAGGTATTAAAAAAAGCTATGTCGATGTATCCTCATTCTTTGTAGTTTTTATTTACCTGTCAATGGTTGTCACATCTGGTGACCGGCTCTAATAGGAATAAGATTCTTGCTATAAGGAACTAATCGATGGTGGGGAGCCTATGTCTGTGTACGTAGCCTGAATCCAGCGAGTCAAAAATGACCTCGGCCCAGTACGGAATGTTAAAACAGATTGATGAAAATTGAGATGAAAAATTTAGTGTATATTTGACTATTAACATCTATTTAAAATTATTAGAAAAAAATTTATTGATATTTATATGATATTTTTATAAACAATGTAAATGGATATGACACTTTTTCATTTACAAATTTGTAAATTCACAACTTGAATGAATTATCTTTATCCCGTAAACTCGATTTTTGAACTTATCAATAAAATATTTCTACAAGTATTGTTTGCAATAAAAAAGCACATTGTGTGTTGTAAATTATTTATTGCAAAATTCATTCGTTTCAAAATTTCGAAGTCAAATTTATTTTTTTGAACAATACCATAGTGTATATTTTTTTTTAAAGTATGTTATATAAATATATAGTTTTATAATGTTATTTATTAAGATGAACTCATTGAGTTGCATTTTTGACGGCCGAAATCATTTATTGTTATAAATTATTTAATAAAGATGGTATAAAGTATGAGCGACTTAATGATATATATGTTAATATTAACATTTTATGAGCTTAAAATATTCCTCATTCATATTTTCCTCCATTCTAATTGCCGGTGAATTTGCCACTCCTTCACTAATTTCGACGATCCTTAAATATTTAGAAATCGATACCCTGAATGATCCTTTCCTCTAGCAAACAAAGTCCAATATACGCGCTACAAGAAAAAATTATTCAAAATACCTTCACAATACATTCAAAAATCATTGAAATCGGTAAGATAGTAATCAGTCTACACTTTCACTCAATGGCTTCGCTATTATACATAATAAATTAATGACAAAAGAAAAGCGAGTTAAAGGAACACAGGTAAGTTTCGGTTTTCCTGATGAAAGCGTAGTTGCCGAAACAAAAAAGTCATATGGTTGCCACATTTCTGTTGTTCTATCCGTCGACTCGATGAAATGGTTAAACTAGTGAAACAGACGAGTTAGAGAATTTTTCGTGTTTCTGAATCCGCCCGAGCTCAACCAAAATTATCCGATTCGACCCAAAGTATCGACTATCCGCATTCGAATCATTCGGCCAAATTTTTATTTAAATAATGAGTAATAATTAAAAGTATAATTTTTATTTAAATAAAATTTAAATAGAATTAAATAAAATATTTAAATGATATCAAAAATAACCTAATCCATATTTTTGATTTTAAAGAAAATGCTTATTTCATATTTGAATTAGATAAAACAAAAATAATTTTTTTAAATCCTTATATCCGTTATATTGAATATGAAATAACCAAATGACAGAGTTACGCAAATAATATCGTCGCTTTTCATAAATATAATTTATGTTGAATGTTAATTACAATTTATATAATACAATATAATTTGTTGAATGTTAATTTACAAAAGTACAATAATAATCGTTATAATAAATAAGAGAACTAAGATGAAAGAAAGGCATACTGCGTATAAATAGTACCATTTTTCTATTTCTTTTGTTAAAGTTCATGGTATTGTTTTGGAAAAATTTATCATAATTCATGAAAATTTTGTTTTATCAATGATTACAGCAGAGAGTGAGTTATTTTTTAATTAATAAAGTTGAATTGTCTTCAAATATTTTATAAAGAATCAAAATGAAAAAGAAAATATTTTAAAAATAAGACAATTTGTATTATTTATTTATTTGTTATACTGTTCTATAAAAAATAAATAAATATATATTTCAAGGAATAAAAAGTTCTGTTAAAAATAATAATAAAAAAAGTTAAAAAGAATTAAATATTCTTATTCTGCTTTTAAATTTGAAATATTATATTTTTTGAAATATTTTCATTTCCTGCCGAAAAGAACACTATTAAACTAGGTCTCCACTGGAGAGTAAAATTGTCGCGAGTTGCTATCGAAAGTCTTTCTCACAAATGGATACTGTTCTGAGAGTTACTGTCCAAAAGCATCGCCCAACTCTGAGAGTTGACGTATCGCGACCTGCTCGCAAATGGACACAATATTATACTGCTCTCGGATAATTGCTCTCAGAATTCGAAACAGAATTCAAAATAGAATAATGAATAATAAAAAAGTGTGGTCAAAAAGTGAAATTGTTGAACTAATTTCTTTTAATTTAAATTATTATGTAATAATTTAAATATTATATATAAATATAAATATTATGTAATAATTTAAATTATTGATCTCTTCTTTTTTTATTGATTTTTCTTTTTTTTTTAAATATTATGGGCAACTATGAGGACCAGAGACAATGAACTCTCAAATAGACACGGCTTTGAGCGTTCTATCGGATAGTAAGCTCTCGGAGAGTATTTCGGTCTCTCTCGAAGAGTGAAAATTTGAGCTGCTCTCAGATGAACACAACACTTGAGAGTACTCTCGAGAGTAACTCTCGCGAGAAACTCTCAAATGGACGCAAGGCTTTAGACATAACAAAATCCTCTTAGAATAAACTTTAGCAAGTGAATAGGAAATCTGAAACCTGTCCCTTTAAATACTTTAAATATTTTGTTAGGAATTTGTCACGCTATGAGCCGTCTTCAGGTTCGGTTAAGAACTAAAATACAAATCAGAAAAAGATATACATATGTATATATTTTTACGTCAAGAAGCTACCGCGTAAAAAATCTATCTTGTTCTAATAAAATTCTGTGAAATTGTAAAATATAAATTTTCTTTCTATCCCTTGATCTGCATAAATATAATTTATATAACATAATGTTATGTACCCCTCTGTATCAAACACATTCAACATTGGTCGATTTTACGAGATATATAAGGATATATTGAACATATAGATATGTTTGTATTTTTCATTAAATCTTCATGAATTGTTAAAGATTTATATTAAATAAATAACAAAGTTTTGTTATTAACATAATATTGATTGTTAAAGTAATTTATAGAAAAATTTCGAAATATTTTGATTAATAAGCATAATTTTTAACTAATGAATTATAGAATTTATGTTATTTGTCATAACCAATGCATTGCATTGTTATAATAAAAATTTTTAAAAATTTAATGTAAATTTGAATATCTATCTTGAATATAATATAAGGAATATCTAAATAAGGATATATAATAATTTTAATATTTTAACATTAATAATAATTTAAAAAAGTTTATAGTAATATTGAAAGTTTGATAACACTATAATGGGTCTAAAAATCATGTTGTTGGCGGATTCACTTACCGTTATTTAAACATAGAGTGCGCTAAAAGATTAGTGATTTTTCAGTATGTCGGTATTTCAGGTCACGGGCCACGAAAATCCGTAAGATGCAATGTCTTCATATACTTCGTCTATGGTAGCACAGTAAAATCAAACTAGTACCTCGTCTTTGAAAATAATATAAGCACAGAGGAGATATAAGCACATAGCATTATAGATATAATGATAAGCAGTATAGATATAGTGACAGACACTTTGTCCATAACAGCAGAAGTTATCTGTTAATGTTTCTTGGTAATACATTTTATTATTTCAAATATTAAAATTTATCTTACAATCTTTTGTAAAAAAAAGTGTGGAATGTATATTTACACTTCGTTTTAACACGTGGTACAATTAGAAATTAAGGTATGATATATCCAAAAATTTTAGTAATTTTTTTAAAGATATATATATAATTTATTAATTTTTAAATGAAATATGAAACACGATATTGGGAAAATTGCACAAATTAGTGGTTAGTAAAACAAAAAAAAAAAAAAAAACATGCATAGTAAGTAATAGCAAGTAATAATGCAAATATCAGAATGTGAAATGTCGAGAAAGGAAAAGAACAAAAGATCGAGTATATATATATATATAAAACAAAGAAAGAATATGAGCACCTGTTTTGTACTGAAAGCTATCATTAAAATGTTCACATTGACACATCAGATTTATTAATTAGAGTTGTATGATAATTTTAGTAAAGAAATTAATAAAAAATAACAAATGTAACAATTTGTATAAATAATATTATTTTCTTTTTTAGATGAACATATATTCTCTTGGTATTAATAACATGAAACAACTGATTAATAATTATTTTGAAGCTAAAGAACCATGGCAAATAGTGACTGTAACAAGTACAACTATTCTTACTTCGGTTTGGTTGTGGAATTTTATTTTTCAAGATGAAAGTACATATGATCATTTATAATGTAGATTTACGTTGTGAAAATTTGTAATAAATAAAAAATGTTTTTTTAGGTTTAATAGAAAGAGCAAAGAAACAATTGTTTAGTTTGAGAAATTTTATACCAGCTATTAGAAATAAAATTGATCAAGAACTGGATAAGATTAATCAAACATTTGAACAAGAAACATTGCAAAGAATAAAAGATATTCCTTTTGTTGTAAAACTTCCAAAGAAAAATTTAGAACCCAAAGAGATATTAGAAAGAATAATACAATGTGTTCAATTAGGTAACAAACAATTGAAAAATTATTATAATTTCCATGAAATGTACCTACATATATGTTATCATTTAGGTGATTATGATTGGAAAAATGGCAAAGTATCTGGAGCTATATATAGAGTTGATACTAATCTTTTACAATTAATGGGGGATATTTATAGTATTGCATCATATACAAACCCATTGCATCCTGATGTTTTTCCTGGTATATGCAAGTTGGAAGCAGAGGTAGTAAGAATAACTTGCAATTTATTTCATGGAGATGAAAATTCGTGTGGCACTGTAAGTTATTTGTGTAAGTTATTTTTCTCAAAATGTTGAATCAATTGAAATAATTTAAAACATAATAAATTTAATAATAAAATCTTTAATAAATAAAATCTTTTCAGATGACAAGCGGTGGTACAGAATCAATTTTGTTGGCATGTAAAACATATAGGGATTATGCAAGAAATATAAAAGGTATAAAAAATCCAGAAATAATAATGCCTGTAACAGCACATTCTGCTTTTGATAAAGCTGCCCAGTACTTAAAACTTACAGTACGATCTGTACCTGTTAACCAGCATAGCTATACTGCTTGTATTAAATCTATGGAAAAAGCTATTACAAGAAATACAATAATGGTATTTAAAAAAGAATGTTTAAATTAGAATTCGAATTAATGTAATGTATTCAGATGTATTAGAGTTAATGTAATGTTTATAATAGTTAATAGGATCAACACCAAACTTTCCATATGGAACAATGGATAATATTAAAGCAATTTCTGATTTAGGAGTAAAATACAATATCCCAGTTCATGTTGATGCCTGTCTTGGTGGATTTTTAATTTGTTTTATGCCAGATGCAGGTTTTAATGTACCATCTTTCGATTTTAGACTTCCTGGAGTTACAAGCATATCAGTTGATACACATAAAGTATATAAATAATATAATATCCGCATAAAGTATATAATTTAAAATTATATATAATTTTTTTCGTTTGTTTTAGTATGCATATGCTCCAAAAGGTTCTTCCCTTATTCTTTATAGAAATAAAAAATTAAGACATCATCAATATACTATAACAACAGATTGGCCTGGTGGTATTTATGGTTCCCCAACTGTAAGTGGTTCAAGAGCTGGTGGAATTATAGCATCATGTTGGGCTACATTAATGTACTTTGGTTATGATGAATATTTGGAATCGACGAAGAAAATTATAGAAACTACTAGATACATTGAACAAAGGTGCGTATTTAGATTTTTTGTAAATTCAAACTGCAATTGCATACATCAAATTGATTGTAGATTGAGAAAGTTTGATGGAATTTTTATTTTTGGTACCCCGGCTACTTCAGTTATAGCATTAGGGTCAAATGATTTTCATATTTATAAACTTTCGGAAGCTTTGAACGCAAGAGGATGGAACTTGAATACACTTCAATTTCCATGTGGCATACATCTTTGTGTTACATATGTCCATACTCAGCCAGGTGTAGCAGATCAATTTTTATGTGATATTGAAACTGAATTGAATTTGATTTTAAAAAATCCAGAAACTCCTGTTGATGGAAAGGTGAATAAATTACTGTGGTTACCATAATTGTTATAATATTCTTTTACATAATATACAAGTAATATTTTTTTTCAGCTTGCAATTTATGGAATGAGTCAGAGTATACCAGACAGAAGCATTGTTGGTGATTTTGCAAAGTGTTTTTTAGATTCTATGTATTTTACACCAGAAAATCAAACAATTAGTAATGGTCCAAGTATCTAAATTATACTTTTATATTATTATTTATAAAATCAAATATAAAAGTGAAAAAATATTAATTTTCTGAAATTTATAATACAATTTTAATTAAAAAATTTAATTATTATTATTATTTGTGTGTGTGTGCGTGTGTGTGTGTCTATTTTAGAAAGTTTAATTTAAAAAATAAGGTTGAGTATATAGATTTGTGAGTACAAAATGGAAAGATTTGACTGCAAATGGAATATTTAATATATATTTTATATAACACATACACATACTTTTCAAGTACAAAATTTCCTTCCATGTAATATCTTTTTTTAATTTTTACACATTTTATGAAACATGTATGTATATTGATTTTTAATATATCTATATATATAATTCTCTAATTCTTCTATATATAAATATCTATCCAGTATATATTTTATACATTTTTATTATATTTGACTATTAGATACCAATATTAAATTTTAATAATAAAAATATATTAAATGTTATTTTAATATCACTACTAATAGTAATAATGTATAATTTAGTGCTATATATTTTTATATTCTTGACAATGAATTTATTGAAAATAAGAAATTTGAATAATGTACAAATCTTATTTTTCTTCCACGAAATTATAATTTATTTAATTATATAAAATTATAATTTTATATCGATAAAAATTGTACTTTGTATTGATAAAAATTTAGATATGACAATCTAGATATATACATACTTATTTTATTAATTTTAAATTGAAGGATACTTATTCAGTTATCACCAAAACAACAGTCACATAATATAACGATCATTTTCTTTTCTAAAATGTTTTTGATTACAAATAATTATAAATAACCAAAAATTGAAGTCATCGCTGATAATTGAAAAAATAACAGTTGTTGAAAGAAATATTTCGATTGCAAAGAAGTTATAGATGACAAAAATATTATTTTGTTTTGGCAAATCATATTTTTGGCTTTGTAATTTATATTTTATCACTACGAATAGTATTATTGTTAATTCAAATTTCTAATAATTAATATTATTTTCATATAAAAATGATGCAATATTTTGGTGATAATTTTAAAAGTTTTTAACTTTTATATTTATAATTAAAATTATAAATTAGAAGTTTTTCTAAGTTTTTTGAATATCAGTTGCAATGCAAATCATTTAACATTCAATATTTTCAATATTGAAAAGGCTCGTTCAACGTTGATTTACGTAATAAAAACGACTTGAATTATAAATATCTTCAAATAAGGAAGTTCATATTTTTTTTTTTCGCAATATTCAACTATGTCTTGATTGTCAACCCTATTCTTTTTATGCTTTTCAATTTCTGAGTATGCTTTGGTAATTTCGAAATAATTTATATATTTAGAATATCTTCATCGTCTCAAGAGAATACATCTACTTTCATAAATCTTATGATATGTCGAAGAAGAAAAATTGAATTAAAAGAAAAATTGCATGATTTAAAAGTAACAACTGCGACATATGTACATATGCAAGTGAAGTTGTAATAATATGATGATGTCAAATAATCAATTTTGCAGAATTTCATTGGTTTGCATAAATCCATACCTTGTTACTTGAGTTCATTATATTTTTGCGATGATATCTGCTTAAAGGAAAGTATATAAGCAGCAACTTTTTTAAAAAATTTTTATCGTCACTATCTTCTTTTATAATGGTAGGATCTGTTTAATTCGCAGATCTAAAGAAAAGGCAAATGTGATTTTCTACCTTCTAAGTTTGTTAAGATTATCCTAACTATTTTAATGTGCCATTGATTTTAATTTTAAATTCAACCAATGCATATAAAAATCTCCGAATAGCTGCCGTATTTATATTTTAGTCTTCACCTAATAATTAAAGAGTAATTGAAATACTCTTAATTTAAAGAGTAATTAAAATACTCTTAGTGAAATAAAATACAATTTGAAGATTTATTTCATGTGATAGTAATACAGATAAGTATTTTGAAATTATTTATTTCAAACGAGTGGAAATTAATTGAAGTAATAATTGTTTCAGGCATATTAGAAATTATATAAAATAATTCTTCGAAACTTGCATTGGTTATCGGCTTTCAAATATTTTCTTTTTTTTAAATCAATTATTTTATGTCGCATCAACTTCATGGGTCATTAGCGACAACAGAAGAAGAGATTTTTTATATGTTGTTGTAGCTCCTGATGCGTTTCAGATATTGTAGCAGGCTTGATGATGTTCCACTGTCCATTAGGTTGTCTTTTAGGATGGCCTTGATTCTGAGTTGTTTTCTTAGTAGTAGGTATACTTCGCATTATAGTATGAGGTGGTCTATTGTTAGGGTCGTCTTGCACCGTTCGCAGAGTGGTTGGTCTTCTTTGGTGAGTATGTATTTGTTTGTGAGTATGTGTTATTTTCGTATGTCCGATTATTATTCTTAATATTACGATTTGGTCAAGTCTTTTTAGAGTGGAAGTCATTTTTGATGGTTAGCAGTCGTGGTTTCACTAAGATTTTCCATTCGTTGTTCCAATGGTGTTTGATTTTTTGCTTCAGGTGGACAAGTAAAGAATTGAGTGATAGGTTTGTGTTGTGTAGGGGATTGTCAAATTTGCTGCTTCCTTAACAGTTTTGTTCGCTCTCTCGTTCATTTCAATTCCTGTGTGGGATGGGACCCATATTACTGTAATTGAATTATTGTTTTTTATTGATTCGATGTAGGCGTTTTGGCATTCGTGCATTGTATTGTTTATCCATTGGTTTAGAATTGAGGCGATAGCATTTGTGGAGTCACTGAAGATGTTCACGAATTTTCTATTGTGGTATTTAGATGTGGTTTCGAGGGCATGTTTTAGTGCGATAAGTTCGGCAGTCAGGATGGATGTCTTGGTGGAGCTTGACTTTTGTGGTTGAATGTTCGAAAACGATCGAGTAGCCGGTGCCGTTTTGGGTTTTTGAGCCATAGATATGTGTATGGCCTCCAGAACGGGGATTTAAATGTGTTAGGGTTGGTTTATTTTTTGTCATCTTTGCGTAAATCGGTGTCAGTTGTGATTATAGGGACAATCCACGGCGGAAAACTGGGTATATTTCTTGAGGTTGCCAAGATGATCTTGGTGTTGAGATCGTGTTCATATTGGGAAATTCTATTATAGAATGGTAGTGCGGTTTTCTTCATCGGGTGTGTGGTGGTAGCTGCGTTCTGTCGAAAGGTATTTAAGAATACAGGGTTCTGAGGGATGCTAGAGATTTTAGCAGCAAACTTGATGCTTAGATTCTGATTTTTATCTCTGAGAGGAACTTCCATTGCTTCGCTCAGGATGTCAATTGGGCTGGTTCGGAATGTTGAAATTTCACTGCTATCCTAATTGCATGGTGGTGTATAGGGTCGAGTTTTTTGAGGATTTGGTGGCTTGTAGAGTTGTACACGATAGATCCATAGTCTATCTTAGTTCTTACTATTGTTCGGTATGTTAGTAGCAGGGTGTTCATATTTGTACCCTAGTTGTTTACTGCAATTGTTTTTAGGATGTTGAGACATTGGTAGTATTCCGATCTACATTAGTTCATGGGCGGAGATAGGTTTGTTAAGAGACGCTATTGATTGTGGGTCATTATCAGTATTTTGCAATAATGGTGGTTTGGCCTCGGTTTCTAGTTTGTACTTCTGGAATTCTTTGGAATGGTTGTTATTGCTAGAGGTTTACTGGAATGCTAGTATTTCTGAAATCTTCGCTGGATCTGTGGTGGGGGTACTGTCTTCTTCTTTTAGGGCAGGGTTTGTGTGGTATGTTTTGTTTCCTTTGATTGACCTGATCTTTTTCCATACTTCTGCGGTTGGAGTGATGAGTTAAGGGATGAAACATACCTTAACCATGACTGTTTCTTGCTGTCTTTAATGATTTTCTGGGATAATGCTCTGTACTTTTTGAAGTTAACGAGGTTTTCTTGAGAGTTATGTTTTTTGTATCGATTGCAGGCGTGCTTATAATTTTTGACCGCATCAGAACACTGCGTTTGGATTTTAAGTTGCTTGAGGTAGTTTTGGTTTTGGAAATGGCTAAGTCAGTAGCTTCTATAATGATACGTATGAAATTGATGAGTGCGGTGTTTATTGAGGCCGGTTTGATCGGATTTGGTTCAGTATAATGGGAGATGGAAAATGCTACATACTCGCGGTAAGTTGTTCAATCGGCTTTCTCAAATTTCCACTTAGTTTGTAGGTGTTATGGCAGTAGCTAGTATGGTATGTAATCTTGATCGGGAAGTGGTCACTATCGAATAGATTACTTTCCACATTTCAAGAAATGTTTTGAGCGATTCTCGGGTTGCAGCGAGTTAGGTCAATTGCACTAAAGCGGGCAGATGTGGTCGTGAAGTGGGTTGGTTTGTTGGTGTTTAGAAGGTTTAGGTTTGTTTTGTTTATTAGATTCGCTATGGTAGCTCCTCTGTAGGATCCCCATAAAATATTATGGCTATTGAAGTCTCTCGTGATGATGAATAATTTTGGTAATTGGCTACAAATTCGGATAAATTCAGCTTCATCAAGATGTTGGTTATTAGGCAGGTAGATATTACATATATGTAGGTTTATAGGTAGCATAACTCTTGTAGCCACAACTTCAAGATTTGATGTGATCGCAATCTCTTGGCTGTGGATGGTGTCCTTGATGTAGATGGCTACTCCGCCACAAGCGTGGTCAGTGGAGCGATTTTTGGCAAAAGCTTTGTAGTTTTTGAGTTTGCCAGAGCTTAATCCTTTAAAGTTCGTTTCCTGTAAGCAAATGATTTCCGGTTGCTTCTTATCTATCAGTGATTGTAAGTATTCCAGTCGGCTGTAGAATCTGTTTAAATTCCATTGAATAATATTTATTGGCATATTTTGAGTTTTAATTGGAGAAATGGTTGGAGAGATTTTATGGAGAATCGTTTTCGGTGAGAATCAATTCGGGGAATGAACAGTAATTGAAGAGTCGTTTTTCGCAGCTATAGTGGTCGATCTTGTGTTAGTTTTTTAACTAGTCGTCGTATTCTGTTTTTTAAGCTTCTATCTTTGAGTAAGGGGTGAATTGTTTCGATCATGTAGAGTGGAGCCTTAGTATCTTGAGTGTAGTTTTTGCTAATGTCGATCGGGTTGTCTGTACTGCACGCATTTTCTAGAAGACGATTGAATTGGTAGTAATTAAGGATAAAGTTATTTTTTGTGTCATCATTTCATAAAGTTTTTTGATGAACTTGGCTAGCGATTGGCTATCCTTAAGACGTTTTATGATGATGTTAGGCGTTGATTCCC